TTTTACCGAAAGAAGATTAAAATGCACTTTAAATACATAAATCGTGAGAAAGAGAGAGAGAGAGAGAGAGAGAAAGTGTGTGAGAGAGAAGAATTCGATAAATCTTTTCTCGCTAACTTAAGCTTTTAGTTATACAAAATTAGCTGTTTCGAAATAAAGCCAAAAGAAAATCATCATTTTCTATAAGCTTTAAAAGCGTGTTCTCTCGCGTTCGACGGAACATTTGGTACACTCTTGGTTTTATCTCTCTCCCTCTTCTCTTTCCCTGTTTCGGTATATGAGAAGGTTGCGGTTCACAAGTTGGTTTCGTTGGTAACGCACTTACGATTAAAGGAGGTGAACGGTGCGAGCTCCGAGCTATATAATCCCTTTAAGAAGCCTTTACGAACGTGACAACCGACGCGCGGTGCGGTGCACTGCGGTGCCGTTGCATACACGGAACCATGAACTAACACTGAGCGGCTGGCTTCGGTCTCTTCTAATGGCCTTTGCATATCATTAATTTTACAAGCATTTTAAGACCGTTACGTGCCCGTAATTAAGACGACGATCCGTGATACCACCGTCTAGAGATCAAGGATAGAAGAAACACCGATATATAATATGACTTTAGAATTAATAGTAATATCGGGATTCGATAGAAACCTCTATTTCTTTTTCTTATTTTTTTCTCCTTTCTTTTTCCCCTTTTTTCCTTGGTTTTCATTTTTTCTTCTCATCAGTTGATACGAATAATTGTGAAATCGTTAAGAGACTTTAATTATATCGTATCGCGTGAAGGAGGGGGGTGTGGAATGGGGTGAGGGGATATATAGAGATCGATGATGAGCCAGCATTGAAACGTAAAAAAACGTATCTCCTCGGGCGTAAAATGAGAACACGTTTTCGGATAACATTTCTGACCGTAGAAACACACATATATACGCTCGTACTTATGTTTTATATATTCGTGGTATTATACTTACATTTATGTGTACACCTACACACACGCACGCAGTTTTCAATTAGCTACGGGAATGCTCGTAAGTTCTTGTTAACTAATAATTAATAATCGAGGTCGGCGCTCGGGCGAGAACTTGCGGTGTTCGTGCGTTGGTACAAGCTATCCCATCAGACATATGCGCTCGCGTGCTATAATTAGACAGTGTGTAACGTTGAGCATGATACGTACGTTCACGACCGATACATCTTTCCCTTCAAAAGGGAAACCCCCTTTATGCTTAAACGTTCGATAATAATCGAGCTTTATCAGTTCGCGAAGTTATTGAAATTATTATCTATTCCTAGTAAACCAACGATGTGTTGAAACATAATTCGAATATATATTATGATCTTTTAATATTGTTAATTATTTCTAAAACTATTTTTTTGATGCATACATAATCGATTCACTTTCTTTTTCTTCTTTTCTTTTTTTCCATCTTTTCTTTTTTTTTCATGTTTCATCTTTATCCACAGGATGACCGGATCCTAAGCCGGGCATACAAAACAACAATGGAAGAGCTTAAGTCTCGAGTTTCTGGTTCGTCCGAGCCAAAAAGGTCTAAAGTGTAAAGGGTTAACTCGAGAAATAATCTATTTATTTATTCCACGTTTATGGAAACAGTAAAATATGTATTATACAATATTATTCGAACGATGTAATATAGGAAATGATATTACAAACGGTTATGGTAATTATAACTAACGTTAATTAATATATTATATCACGTTAAATCGAATTATACCTATGCTCGTGAATTTTGCTTTTGTATTTTAGAAAACGTTTTATCGTTGCTGCGAACAAATTATTTATACAAAAAAAAAAGAGATATATATATATATATCCAGACTCTTTAAAACGAGGAGAAGATAGAAATAGCGGTAGTCTCTTTATAGGTAGAGCTAACAGGTGGGAACGTAAACTTGACTCTCCTTTGCGACTGCTAAATATTTTATTGATCCCACTCATTATGCATCCCTTTTTCCCTAGGGATGATTATATCGATTAATTTGTTTATTTTTGAACGTTATTGACAAATTTTGGATTTTAACGCAATGAGAATTTTCAAGGTTTTCTCTTTAAAGAAAACGAATGGGAGAAATATGGTTTTGGTAAATCGAGATCAATGTCAAGCGATGGAGGGGGGGGGTTAGGGGTGGCGTAAATGCAACGTAACGGCTTAACGCGAACAAACTTGTCTTGTGCTTACTGTCCTAACTCAGTATCGAACATCGAGCATACTAGGAAGTACACGACGCAGTAACACCCCCCGCCCTCCCATGCCCCCCCTCTTGTCTTCATGCCCCCAATGCTTTCAGCCTTGATATCGGATCGATATCGGAGAGGATAGGAAGCTTCAGGGATTCGACTACGGATCGCGTGGGATTTCACCTCGATAATTGAACATTCGACTTCGATCTACTCTCGATTGTTGGAACACGGACGGATCCTTGCCAAGGTTATTGTTAGTTAACGCGTTCGTTTAAGGATAATAAGATATTCTCGGTTAGTATACTTTAAAGTTTGACAATTAATTTTAACTACTTATCCTAATTTTTTTAACGTTAAAATACTTCACCTATTATATTCTTTTAATGTCTCTTTCTCTTAACAAAATTTCAGTCTCTCCTTTATAGTACCATAAACGCATACACACATACACACACACACATTCACGCATACACGTACGTAACTCGTATAATGACCTACTCTCACAGATGCTTTTCCGTAAAAATGCTCCCTTTTCCAGGGTGTTTTTTTTTTTTATGCTCATATTATCATGTCCTAACGGAAGCTCGGCGTGCGCGTACATTAAGCCGAGTACAAACTTTACGATCCACCTGTTCTAAGCGTGGCATATTTACCTCAGTCTCTCACCCCCTTCTCGTCTCTCGAACCCACCCGCGTTTACAACAACCGTCGTCCAACGTCTTCATAACTACCGCCAGCCACGCGCACGTGTTCTTTCCACTGTTTTCTCTTTTCAAATAATATACTTATTAAGAAAATAAATTTTCTTTTTCCTCTCTTTTCCAGTCTATAATCTCCCCACGCCAAATTATCATACCTAAAGATTTTCTTTTTTTTTTTAACTCCACGGATAATTCATTTTCCTTCCGCCCCCCACCCTCGCCCCCCGATCCGTACGAAATATTCGATGAGACGTCGGTCGACTTACTCGTTTTCACCGCAATTTTTGTCGAGATTCAATCAGGAAACGAAAGCGAAGTTTCGGGGTGGGGGCTGGAGGAGGAGGGTGTCTGATAGTTGCCCGAAGTTATTCTTAGAAAATCCCATTCTTCGTTGGTTGTTACTGGCTGCTGCTACTGGGTGCTTCTTTTTCTTTAAAAGATAAAAGAAATTCGTTTTCGTTTTCGCGTCGAAAATGGTGTCGCTTACGTTAACGTTCTCTTTCTCTTACTCTTTCTCTTTCTCTCTATTTTTCCCTTTATTAGATGGTGTAACGTTGCAACGTAGAAACGTAAAAGTATGTTCTTTATTATACGAAAGGGGGGAAAGGGAGGGGGAATTGGAGAGAGAGAGAGAGAGAGAGAGAGA